CCGGGTCTTTTAACTCCAAATCCCAGGCTCTTTCCATGATAGCTAAAGTGACCATCTACTGAGGACACTATTGGGAGTGGAAGGGGTGTTATTAGCCAGGACAACAAACATACACTGGGACTGTCCTGGGGAAAGTGGTCCTTTGGTCGCCCTAGCTCAGTGGTCGGCAAACTCATCAGTCAACAGAGCCAAATACCAACAGTACAACGATTGAAATTTCTTTTGAGAGCCAAATTTTTTAAACTTAAACTATATAGGTAGGTACATTGTTATTAACTTAATTAGGGTCCTCCTAAGGCTTAGGAAGAGCCACACTCAAGGGGCCAAAGAGCCGCATGTGGCTCGCGAGCTGCAGTTTGCCGACCACGGACCTAGCTATTGCACCCTGACTGAGGATGAACAGCTGGGGGGAAAGGAGAAGCAGAGTTAAGGGGGCGGGGGAAGGGATAGGAGATGGTGATGTGGAGGGAAGATCATGGACAGTCGGCCTGCTGAGACTCTCTGGAATCTCTTGTACGTTTCCTGGGGATTTAGAAATACTAGATTAAAGTGGTGTCACAAAACAGGCCGTTCACTCTAACGTTACTGGAGGAAATAGACTTCAGGAAGCTCCCATATGAGATATTTAACTGATCTTTGATCATAAGTCATAAGCACACTTGAGGTCATTTTACAACATACTCTTTGTGTGCTGTTGCTTTAAGAAGTAATGGAGTCTGACAAAGGAGGCAAGAACATACAATGGAGTCAAGACAGTCTCTTCAATAAATGGTGTTGGGAAAATTGGACAGATACATGCAAGAAAATGAAACTAGACCACCAACTTACACCATACACAAAAATAAACTCAAAATGGATAAAGGACTTAAATGTAAGACGGGAAACCATAAAAATACTAGAGGAATCCAAAGGCAACAAAATCTCAGACGTATGCCGAAGCAATTTCTTCACTGATACAGCTCCTAGGGCATTGGAGACCCTGAATGGAATTAGAGCTGAATCATCAGGTTCCTGGCTAATTTCAGTTTACGCCTGTTAAAATAGTTCCATGTCAATATATGCTTCATTGGTGAGGCCTTTCTTAGTCTGAAACCGTGTGTTAAAAATTTAGTAAGTCACTTCCTGAAAGTCTCCCTGGCAGTCTTTATTTCTGTGTGTATTTACTTATTTTGAAAGATAAGACATTTCAAATTTACCAAAAGTATGTAAAATAATACTGTAACAAGCAATTCTATCTGTCATTGAGATGAGATATACATTCACATTTTGCTATATTTGTTTCAGATTTTTTTTTCAAGTCTTTACAAAAGAATTTACATAGAGCTAAATAAAGCCTCACTCCTTTTCCTTCTCACCACCCACCACTCTTTCTACTCCACCTTCCCCAGGTACCAGGTAACCATTGTCCTGAACCACAGAGTATGAGCTTTTCTGCGTCCAGCTCCTTTCTCTCAGCACATTATGTCTGTGAAGCTCTTTCATGTTGTTGCATTTATTAGTAGTTCAATCCTTTTTATTGCTTAGTAGTATTCACCCAGTTTCTTATTGATGGATACTTGGATTGTTTCCAGCATGGGCTGCTTTGAATGGAGCTGCTAGTAACATTCTTATGTAAGTCTTTCTGTGGATGTTTGTTTTCATAGCTCTTGGTTAAAAAACCTGGGAATGGTGTTGCTGGGTCAAAGAATAAACTTCAATAATTATTCACATGTGGCCAAGTGTATTTCATCTACATGTCTCCAAGTCCCTCCATCATTGTTTATTTTATTTATTGATTTTAAATACATTTTATTGATTTCAGAGAGGAAGACAGAGGGGGAGAGAGTTAGAAACATCAATGATGAGAGAGAATCATTGATCCGCTGCCTCCTGCACACACACACACACACACACACACACACACACACACACACACACACTACACACTGGGGGATTGAGCTTGCAACCCAAGGCACATGCCCTGGCCAGGAACTGAATTGTGACCTCCTGGTTCATAGGTTGACACTCAACCCGCTGAGCCATGCTGGCTGGGCCATCATTGATTATTTTAAAGTGGATCACTCTATTTTCTGATTTCTTAATTGTCTATTCCCCGACCCTACCTACTATTACGCCTGTTGATCTTGTTCATGAACAGTAATTTCCT